TTAAATTTTTTTATAAATTAATTAATTAAATATATATTTTATTAATTAAATATATTAAGGTCACAATTCCATATGATTTGATCACAAATTCTATATAATTGGTCACATATTATTAATTGGACACAGAACACTGTTTTTATTTGTTTCAAATTATTTTACAATCACAATTGAAAATTTTTATAGGTTTCAATTTGGTCATCGATCACAAATCAAAACTTTATATGTCACAATTTATTTATTGGTCTCAAATCTATCAAATTAATAAATTACGAATTTTATATGTTACAAATTATTTTACGGTCAAAATTCAAAAATTTTATAGGCCACAATTTATTCATCGATCACCAATAAAAAATTTAAACATCACAATTTATTTACCATCACAAAGCACGAGTATTATAAGTTACAACTTATTAGACAGTCACAAATTATCAAATTATCGGTCACATATTAACATTTTTTTAGGTCGCACATTATTTTTTAATCACAAATTATCGAATTTTAAGGTCACATTTTAATGGTTAGTCACAATGAACCAAATAATTGGTCACATACACTAAAACACCCTACCCCCGATCTCGACTCACCACCAATATTTGGTCACAAATCAACTAAATAATTTGTCACGGGCACTATCCCATCGCCGCCACTACCACAACACCACCACCAACAAAACCACCACTAGATCCAATACACTACCAACAAAAATCATCACAACCGCCCCTGCCATCGTCACCACCACCACCACCATTTTTGCAACACCACCATCACCATTCTGCACCCAACCACCGCAGCACCATGCCCAACCACCAATCACCGCACCACCGCCACAACCACCACCATCACCACAGAGGCCGTCTCTCACGCCAGCCAACACAACACCGCCATGGCCACCTCTACCACCACCACCACCAACTGCAAACACAATAAAACTCACCTAAAAAATTCAGGCACCAGTTTATCGACACATCAATGCCAGATTTACCACCACCTCCACCAACAAAAGCCAATCCTACCACCAGATTCAATAAATCCTTTTTGATTTAACACCAATCTAACACCAGCGCACCAACAAAAATTATTGCCAAATCATGACGCAGAGCACAGACACACCATCATTGCACTCTACCTCGGCCACCACATATCGCTGGAGAAACACCACGGCTCCGATGCCACACATCAACGCCATGCGTAGAGGCGCTGCCTTGGGGCGGGACTGGTATAGATCGGCACAGTTGCTGCGCCTTCGACCGCATGAAGTCGTGCCTCAATGCCTCAACGCTACGCTT